ATGGCTAGAATGGATATAAGGAAGAAATTCTTCCCTCTGAGGGCAGTGAGGCCCTGTCCCAGGCTGCCCTGAGGAGCTGTGGGTGCCCCATCCCTGGCAGTGCCCAAGGCCAGGCTGGATGGGGCTGCGGACTGGGGGGTGCTTTAAGGGCCCTTCCAACCCAAACCGTGCTGTGATCCTGTGATTCTGGTTTTCAGTATGCAAAATACGTGTAAGCTTTTACCTAGCTGCTGCAAAATTTTACAGAACTGTCTTCTATTTTTATGCTGGTTTGTAGATTCACCATACACATGTTAAGAGAGTGATGGGAACATACTACAGACACGAGCACGTTCAGCTCCTCTGTACATCTGGCACGTCTCATCTCAGCCTGCTCTCCCTGCTACACCTTTTACAAGGCCAAATGCTGAGATGAATCTCTGTGTATTTTAGCACCACTAATTATAACTCAGCAGCTCTTTTGGGTGTAGCGCAACAAAACACCTCTCAAAAATGAATTTGAGTGTTTGTTGAAAAAACATGCTAGGTTTAAACAACCCAAGCATATGACTCACTTGCAGTGGACTTTCTCATGTTAAAAAAAAAAAAAGAAAAAAGCAAAATCCCTTTAAATGGTACTTTGATCCAGTTACATAGCCTTGCTGGCATGTTTAAAATTCATCTGCAAAATCAAAAAATTCTCAGGAAAGAAATTTTGAAATAGCAATGATGTTAAAGACATCACTTCTGCAAGAAAGATGTATTGGAAGATACAAAAGATGCTGAAAAAAGAACCTTCTCATCTCTCAACTCCTTAATTCATCCTTTTTCTGAAACAGAAGGGAAAGAGAGGAGACAACCATGAAGTTGTAGCTCTTAAGAAATGTTATTTTCAACACATCTGTGTTTAACCACAGCAACTTTCTAATACGAAAACCTTATTTCACTAAATCCGTTTCTCCCTGCAGCCAAAATGGCTCAAGGCAGTCAGGGTGGAATTGTCTTATGTGGGGATGGACAGCAGGACCCTTACTCTTTCAGGCTCATTAGTTCAGTTCCAGCCCATACCAGTTGTCACTGAAAATTTCATTAAACAATGGCAGCTTAGAAGCCTTCACACAGTTCATAGGCTTCAAGTATACTAATATATTTCCTTTCTCAGAAGAGAGGCTAGAGATTTTATGTCTCTAGAAACATTTTCTTCAATCCCTGTCAGTTTTACCTTAGAAACAAAAATACTTTGCTATAGCATGGACATTTGCAGATATATTGTCAAAGCACTTCAGTAATCAAGTCCATCCTCCAACATTACATACAATTAAACTGAAAATAAATTGGTTCTACAGTAGCAGAAAAACAAACCAACCAAATGGGGACTTGCCTGTAGAGTGATCACATCTCCTCCTCCTCCCCAGGAAGCCAGGCTGACAGAAGACCCCTACCCAAACAGTGGGAAGATGAAGAGGTACTCAAACACTATGAACCTTGCACTGCCTGTGAGACTCATTCCTGCCCCTACCTGCGTTTGCACAAATACCAAAATCCCCAAAGAGACTTCAGAGACGCAAGTACAGAGGGAAAAGAGCACAATCTGCAGCAAATGTCCAACATCCATTAACACTTTGTATCGTCTCAAGAGCATAAAGGAAGAAAAGAACAAAACAGAAGAATGTTTATTGAGTTACCTAGGATGGGCAAGAAGACAAACACAATCTTTATGGCTACAGAGGTTTTGTTGTGAATGCATTATCAAGACACCATGTACATTGCTCTTCACATTTGGGTGAAACTCATCTAAGTTACCCTGATTTCTGTGCTGGCATCTGGCTAGTAGGTAACTTAACTAAATCCACCTTAGGGGAAAAAAGCACACGTGGATCTTTTTGGGGTGCAGTTACAGCAACAAAAATCCAAACCCCTAAGTCTCAAGTACAAGGAACTCTTGGTTGTTCACCATCACGGTAAGGTAGCCTCCACTGATGCTTAAGCAACAGTTTTTGGGTTTTACACAGCTATCAGCCCAAAGAAAAAATTCATAAGCTCTAAACTACCCAGGAGTACACCTGGATTGGTGCTTCCTACTTACGACTTCGGATCACCATTCTGCAGGTTGCCTACCTCCATACACAGCAGCAGCACAATTCTGCTGGAACTCCAGCTACCATTAAGCTGGAAGCTACAAGTGCCAAAAGCCATCTTAATGCTGCCTTCTGACAGAAGCCACAGCCACAGGGAAGATTTTTTTCCTCCTATCTAACCTAACCCTCCCCTCTTTTAGTTTAAAGCCACCCCCCCTTGTCCTATCCCTACACCCCCGACACAGAGTCCCTCCCCAGCTTTCCTGCAGTCCCCTTTAGGCACGGGCAGGCCTCTGGGAGGTCTCCTGGTCTTCTCCAGGCCAAACATCCTCAGATCCCCCAGTGATGCTCTAGCCCTCTGAACATTTTGCAAAATGCAACGAGACATCCTGAATTACTCAGCACAGCTGTCCTCTACAAAGCTGTGTTAACACTGCTGACAATTGCCCGTGCAATATTCTCAATTTCTAGAATAAAATCTAAAATGTTTTAAAGTCCCCATTTCAGTAAAGGAAAAAAGATATTAATTGATGAACGTAATTCTCTGACTGAAAGAAACCCCCATACATCTAGAAACACTTAATTTTGCTTTGAAGACTATCGAGTCCTACAACCCATTCATTAAACAAAGGAAATGTGGGGGAAAAAAATCATTAATACCTCAAGAAACGTGAAGTTCACCACTCCTGGGACTCTTTACCGGACCCAAATATACTCCTACTTGTCAAACACATTAAACTGACGGGATGCCTCAGCCCTCAGCCTGCTGCTTGCACTTGTTACCCCATCTGTCACTGTCACACACCACTGCCTGACGGTCCCTAACTCCTTGATACACACTCGGGTCCAAGCATACCCTTCGTTCGGCGTGAAGCCACGCAAGCTACAGCGCTCCCACTGAACCCTAGGACATCTGGAGCCAGAAAACCACCTGCTGGTAGCAGCAACACATCCTTTGCTGGGCCTGTCTGTTTAAAATACCCACCGCCAGCTTAGGAAAGACTTATGGAAAAAGAATTATTTAATACGAAGCAAAGAAGTGGTAGCCTTGACTTGACAGCTGAGCCTCTACACTGTTATCAGGTATATTCAACCTCCATTAATCTTGGCCGCACAGGGCAGTAGGGGAGGACACAACTTACCCCTTCAACACAGACAGCTAAACAAAAAGGGCATTTCGATTCAAGAGCTGGCTTCCCAGGAGATTTATTTATTTAATACATATTGTGGCTTACAGATGAGGTGTGTCGCTTCCATTATCTGCAATGCGAATTGAAGTTTCTACTTCCCATTTGACTTCTTTAACGGGGAATTAATGGCTCATAGGAATTTGCAGTGAAATAGATATATTAAATCATTGCAGAGACAAGCAAAGCTTTTACAAAAAACACACCTCTCCACACCGCATCCTATTCAACGATCCGTCTTGTAGGGCCTGTTACATTTGAGTAGAAATATTTAATATTTAGGAAGCACTCACTCAAACATTCAAAAGCTGAGAAACAAAGTCCAGCTGAGAAACAACTACCAATTAGAGGGACACAAACTTATTTCTCCACATTTTTATTCATACTTCATTTGACTACACTCAAACGTTAGATTTCCTCTTTTTTTCCCCACTGTTCTTCACATACATGTATGCAACCCAAGTGCTGCTAGAACATAAGAAAAAGTGTCAGTACCACCTCTGTGTAAACAAGAGTACTCAACACCTTCCCAACAAGGTGGCACAGATACAGTTATTTCACAAGCGTCAAATCCCATGACTACTTCTAGAGTGCAAAACTGGAAAAAAAAAGATGAAAAAGACATTGATTGCTTGACCCCTGAACTATTTAGGTAGCATATGCATCTATTTTCACCATAATTTACTAAAACTGAATTACAGACACACAGGTTCTACAGCTAAACAGTAAGAACAACCATATATGTTGTGATCACACGCCATCTAAATGCTCTAAGACTTTTTTTTCCCACTTTATATAAGCATGACACAAACATGATATTGCTTCTACTAAAATTCATATTGTGCTATGTAAATTACTTTTATGGCATTCAGATTACATGTGAAAAAAGGAAAAACAAGAATCCCACTCAGCACATGGACACAATTACCAGCAGAATTTCATTTTGCTACGGCCCTTTCTTAGTTTCAGCAGACATGACTGATGGCTGCAAGAAAAATCAGCACAGAGGAAGAAGATAGTCTGATGCTAAAAGCCTCTCCAGTACGAACTGGGTTACTCAGCATACAGGTGCATTAAACACTACTGACATCATTTTTTCTTGATTTCTGTTACCAGAAGAAAAAAAGAAAAAAAAAAAAAGCATATTTTTATCTGTTGGAATGCAAGCAACTCCAATACCAAGCAGTTTGCCCAGGGATAACAGCAGAAAAGTTTCACCAGCATGACCCAGACTTGGTTCAGCATTTAATTGCACTCCTGTGACAAAGGATAACCACACATGCTACACTCAACTGTGCATAACTAACTAAATTAAAAACAAGAAATAATGGAAAAAAAATGAATAAAGATTAGTGAGAAGAAGTAATATCAAAGAGTAACAGCCACCTGTACAATGTGACACTAACAGGGAGCAAACACATCACCACATTATGGGATGCATTACGGGAATGTCGAGACCAAAGACCAAATTAAAGAAGTGTATGGTTTGACAAATTAATAAAGTAACTATAATTCTTTTTTTCTTTCAGAGCTTACATGAATACCGGTAAACAAGTTCTGCTGCTTCAGAGGCATCCACTAACCAAAGCTTAGACTGAACGAAACAAGGAACCTTCTAAAAGCTGCATGGGAAACCCAGAAGACAACAACATTAATGCTCTTCCCAGGCTTCAGAAAAGTAGCTGGGAGCCTCCACACCCTCACCAGCGACCGTGGGGAAACCAAAGGGGATCCCAGAGAACAGAGGTGCACTCACCGTTACGACTCTCTTCATCGATAGGAACTATTGTGGCTGGAGGACCTGTTCTGGCCAATTTGCAATCTATAAAGATAAAAAAAGAAGTTATTTCTGATCCCAGAGAAAGGTCCTTGGGTTTTTGTTTGTTTGTTTGTTTTGTGGGTTGTTTGTTTTTCAAAACAAGTCAGCATATTCAGCATACTGAAGACAAGTATCACTGAAGTGTGATGGATCAAGATCTGACCTCTTAATTTATCCATTATTCAAATAAACTTTTTAAAGCAAAGGAGAATCTGATGACGGAGGATTTAAAGTCTCAGATGCTGATCCATATCTAAAACTAACAATTAAACAGTGTAAGCTTAATATGCTTTGCTACATTCTCTCTTAGGGGAGCTTTCCTTCCCATGTCGTGACTACACGCACCAAATTCTTGCCACGTACCCACAACACAGTTTGCTGGCTACACTAGAACACGTCCATAGCTTGCTCTGGAAATGCTACCAGGGAACACAGTGAAGCAGAGTCTCTCAGGACAGATATAATAGGACAGTAATTTATCCCAAAGAAAAAAAAAAGAAAAAAAAACAAAAACAAAAACAAAGGAATAATTAAAACATATAAATCATAATTAAAGCTTCACAGCAGAAACAAACATAATTTGAATTTAATTGCAACAAAAAGATTTAATTAAAGGAAGTGAACAGAATTTTAATAGCATTCAAAGGAAAATAAAAATTAAGAACAGACAAGCAATGTTCAGGAAGTTTCATTGTGCCATCTTACCCTCATATTGCCAGTCTGGAGTCAAAAGTTTAGAGGCATCAATGGAAGCAGAGCAGAATAATGAAAGAAAATAAGTAAGATTTTGTTGCTTTACAGAAACGATAGCTTCAAAGACAAAGCAGTACATGCAGAGCTAGCAAAGGCATAGGTGTAGTCCTACAATATTCAAAAGCATGTATACTACTTGTAATAAGTGGATTTTGCAAACAGTTTGATTTTCTATATTAAACAGAAGAAAAACATTACCTCTTCAACCCCAACAGGAAAAAAATGTTAATTAAGAGGTGCTCCTCATTTTCAAAGGACCTCATAGTACCACTAAAACAGCACTATAAGGGAACGCATTTCTCCTCGCCCTTTCAGCACGGAAAACTTTGTCCTCCTCGCAGGAGCTGGGCCACAAAGGCTGCTACGCAGTGCTTCGTACTGACCCAGGGAAAGCAGCACTGGATTTTTTGAGAAGTCTAAACACTTTACACAATATCCCAAAAGAAAATCATCTGTAAATTAAATGCAGCAGCAAGGCAAGGTAAAATACAATTTCCCAGCCCGCAGGAAAAATGACACACTCATTGACTTCAACAGAATTGCACAGCTGCTAATTACAGGCTGCAACTGCCCCAGCACAGACCGAACCTACGAAGGAGGATGAAAACAGTGCAGCATTTCTCCAGATGTCTCTTCAGGTGAGGCCCCTGAAGGGCATCCCAGCGGCACGATGATTTCTTGCACGGACAGCTTTGCTATTCAGCTGACGAGCGCAGCTGCAAGACCAAACTTCTCAACAGCGAGGGCACCACAACTGACAGCATGCGTCTTTGAGACTTGTAATATTTATGAGCAGCCTGAACACCACCTGAATTACTACCAGCGATAACACCGTCACCATGTAATCACCGTTACTTGGGTTTTCCAAAAGGCACAGAGGCAAACCTTTTTGCGAAGCGCGCACACTCCCAGCCGTTCAGCTGTGACACCACCGATGGTTTCATGCACTGCTTCATTTGCTATCCTAAGAAATCCACGTTCATTTGTTCACTGAGCAAGTGCTCTCTTTTTATTCTTATGTGCTCCAGCTTTATACATAAAAGTTACGTATTTGTTTGTGGTTCTTATTTTTTTAGGCATTAACAGAGGAGACGGAGCACCTCAACAAAATTCACCTTCCGTGTCATTATAGCTTTCATTGCTAGGAGCACATTTGTGCAAAGATAAGTACCATTTGCATATCCACATGAAACACAGAATTTTTCCTGCTTTTATTCTTTTCGCTGGATGCTATAAAAAATAACAGGACCATAACTGATACAACCCCAGCCTTTTCTAGAGATTTTGTTGCTGTTGTTGTTATAATTTTCAAGAACTTGACGGTTTGGCTAACAGAACAACCCTTCAACAAACTCTGTTAGTGCTAAAAGCCCCCCAGTACAAACATACCAAGGCTGTTTTCGGGAAGGGTCTGCCATTTGTCACCCAACAGCGATCACTGCACACATAACCACAAAGAAATCCACAGCAGAGACAATTTTTAACCCCGAATATTACATATTCCTTACCAAAAGAGTGATCGTGGCTTTTTGTAAAACCAAATGAGCTTTTTCCCCATTGTCTCTATTTCTGCACTGGTGTTTTCTCCTCGCTGGGTGCCTCTGTGAAAATGTCACCCAGATCAGGGTTCACAACCCCCCCAGCCTTGGGCTGAATTCTCAACTAAGCGAAGTATTGAAATTACAGATCAGTCGTGCTACAGCAGCCTTTTCATGGGATTGGCGTTCCACCAAACGCATCAGGATTTTCAGAATTGTTAACACACCACATAATTGCTTTGATTAAAATGAATACTCGGCGCTGAAATCTGGATTTTAAAAAATCTCAGAGAAAAGGTACACTGTACAGTGGAGCTTGGTGATTTGCAGAGGAATTACTGCAAGTGTGGGCAGGTGAAGCAATTACATTTGTCATGAGATAAATTTCAATCAAAAGAACAGATTAGAGTAATAGCAAAAACTAATTCTACAGCTGGGGAAGGAAAAAAAACAGGATGCATAGAAGAAATTCTAGCTGAGGATCACAGTGATGGCACCAATAAAAAAAAATCTCAACAAATGTGGCTTTGTTGCACAGATAACAGTCTACAGATGATCATTTTATGTTATTTCAGCCACACCAGCACTAACCAAATACCAGACTGCATTTTAGGATGTCTGTCACCCCTCTGCTTCTTCCAAAGACAGAGCCTAATAACGCCTTAGACTTGCTTAGTTTCGCATTCATCAGCATACACTCCACAGATAAATCTAAAATTGCAGTGTTACATGAATTTCCAATTCCAAAGCAGACAAATTCAACTTCAGCCTTTAAAGACGGGTCCCACGTTCTAAATACTTGTTAGGTACGTTTATTTTCTTGCCAAACACGGTCAGCAAGCTCAGATACTGTGCTTTATCCCCATGCATCAGCAGGGCCTTGTGGAAAATACCGGGTACACAACAAATGTCTTTGGGCTGAAGCCTGGGCCAACCATCCTGGCTGCGTCCCCTCTGCCCCTGCTGCTCCCCGAGGGCAGAAGTCCTTGGCTCTGTGCAAGTGCAGCAGCTCTGACACGGGGTGTCAGCATAGCAGACCCTGGAACACCCTTCCCACAGAGACAGTAGAAAAAAACGACTTACAAAGGAAATGTTTACACACCACTTTTTTTCGTTCCTTGTTGTTGTTGTCTGCTTTGTTTTGAAGTGCCTTATTTTTGATTAGGGGCCTGCATATAAAACTGAGACGTTTCCAACTCTTCTGATTCATGTTACAGATGATTATAACGTAACACTGATGCTTACCTAGCTAACAACAAAAAAATGTTTATAAGTCTATTTCAATAGCTGAGACAGAAGAGTTTCTCTCCATTGTGGGGTTTCTTCCACAGGAGGCCCTTGCCCATCAGCCCCATACAGGCAGAGGCTGTTTCTCGAGGCACCTCCACTCCGCCAGAAGCACCTGCACAAGTACGATGCTGAAGCACCGTCTGCTTGCCCTCCGAGTATTTGTTCTCCGCTCTCGACAAGAAGCCACTTGTCCTTGAAATTCCTGGGCATAATGGAGTGGTCACGGAAGTCAAATCATGCTGAATTGAGCCCACTTAAAAACAGCAGAAAAGGCCGTACTCTAAATGAGCTTCCCTACCTCCGGTTGTCCCAATATAATCGCATTTCTTGTTTAAGCAGCAGCTGCTGGTGAACGTACTCGTGATGCAGCAGGGTCCTCCCACCCAGGCTCATCACAGAAAAGGCAGTAGCCATCAGGCAAGGGAAACAACAAGCTAGGAAGGCTTCCCTGAAAGCCTGCAGGAAAGCATTTCTGTTCCTGTCATTAACTTCATTGCTCCCTCTAACCAGTGTTTTTGCCTTACCATTACATGATCAAGGCAAAGGCAGACAAATAAAGTGCCTGCCTCCTTGGGAGCGAACTCAAAATCCATTTAACATACGCTTCATGGAACAGTTACGTGGCTTAGATCTGTTTGGTTTCTGATAGCTCATTTTCATTATTTTAATTTCTAATTATTTTTAATGAGATGGCTCAGAGGAATCCCTCAATCATAGCTCTAGGTAAGATGCTCAGCAAGGTCAAAGAGAACAAGGGGGCAATCCAAATAATCCCATCCTCTGCCACTGGAGAGCCGCCCCATCCACTCCCCATCTGAATACCCCAAAACTCAAGGAGAACTTCACCAAGGCAGTCTCAAGGCCAGGGGAGCCTCCCTGCCCCGAGGGAGCAGCCTGCAGGGAGAGCAGCACTGGCCTCGGACGCGCAGCCAGCCCGAGCCTTCCCGGGGATGTTATTCCCCGAGATAACTCATCTCCTCCCAGGCGCTCCTGAAATTAAAGCTGGAAAAACATCCACTTCAATTTGCTAATCACCGACTCTTCCTCCAGCTGTTTCAAAAATACCCAATTAGCACTCCACATTATTTTATTCTGTATTCAATTTTGCTTTCAAATATTCAGATGTAACTAGATATATTTTTTTTTTATATATAAAAAACAGTCACAGGACATACAACCACAGACAATCTCAGAAGACTGACTCAGTCCTAGCAGATTTGCAGCCTGATTTGAAAGACCTTATTTAGTGAAGTTCTACTCAGTAACTGTGGAAGGAAATCATTCTGTTTGATGGCAGAACAGAAGACAGTATTTTCATTCTTTGTCACTGGAACAAGAGACCAGGCTCTAAATGCCATCAGAGGCTGTAGAAGGCTCTATTACTTTCCAGCATCCATCCGGATACTTGCCTGGGCCTTTTACCCAAGCCACAAAATCTCACCGTGCAATTACTGCGTGCTCAGCTTTCAGGCACTTCTGCTGCACAGATGTTGTCTGGAACATTAAACTGAACAGTTCGCCAATAATTAGCATGTACATTTAATCCACGTGGAAAACATTTTGGAATCATTACCTCTGATCAGATTGTTTTTTTTTTTTTTTTTTTTTTTGTGTGTGTGTGTGTGTATTTGCCCAAACTTTCTGAATCCACGCAAGTCCTTACCATCTGCAACATATAAGAGCAAGCTTACTTTGAACCTAGTCACTACCACTCACACCCCAAAACATGCTGTGATCCTAAAGCCAAAGAAAACCCTCAGCATTCAGCAGCACCCCTCAGTTCAGCGACAGCAGCAAACGTCACGCAGCAGTCTTGATTTCAAGCATGCTTTCTCCTGTTCTGATCGCTCCATCCATGTTGAGAAAGAAAATAGAGGGGTGGTGAAGAGTTTTTGAAAATGTCAAAGGATGCAAAGTCTTTAGTTGTATTTATTCTGACTTCTAGGCACTTAAAACCTTGAAGAGATGTACAGCTAGAACCCACTGAAGTCCAGTCCTCAAGCCTGAATCAGTGTCAATACTACAGCCATATTAAATAAACTAATGAGATTAATAAATTAATAAATTAATTTAAAATTAATAAAAAGCTGGGTATGTGGTATCTGCCTGATCACTGACTGAAAATTACAGGGAGCTCAT